GCGGAAACGCTGGCGGCAGGGGCGTTTGGTGGCCGCGCCGCTGGTAGTGGAACGAGGCGCGGTGCTGTCGGCTGCGCGACAGTGCTGCCTGCTGCTGCCTCGCGTCTCGTTTTTTTGTGTAAAAACGTTCAGATCAGTGCTTACTGTGAACTAATCCACACAGTGAAAATTTGCAGAGTCCCAGGAAGGAGAAGTCTTCCTTGTGTGTGTGTGTGTGTGTGTGTTTTTAATTATTTGTTGTTTGGGTTTTTTTTCCTTCCAACTTGCTTTTTCTTCTGACCGCACACTTGGCCGTGGGTACGATGCGTTTAGATAGAAGAGTCTGCAGTGGTGCTTATCAGCACATTGAATTCGGTATAACAATAGGTTGGTTAGCAAATGTTAGAGGAAATAATTCATGATGAAGGAAGAGGTGTCTGTAAATTCCTCTCAGTTTGACTGCTAGTACTCTCCTTTGAACAGCAGTCCTTTTGGAAGGAAATTTTGGGAAAGGAAGGACATTGTATTCAGCTCAAATCTCTTAGGGGCCAGTCAACCTTATACAATGCTTTGTGCTTTAATCGGCCCATATAGACATAACATGAGCAGCAGGAGACGTTTCCCTCTGTAGTTTCCTCCAGTTCATATTTTAATGGGAACATTTCACTGGGAGAATGGCTCTGCTCTTTCCCGCTGTAGCTTATTTCTTTCCCTATCTTGTGCTCAGTCAATCCGTTTACATTACCAACAAGGGTATGCTCTTTGTGCTAAATGAAGTAGTTGCAGGGGTTTTTATTATTTTAAATGAGGTCTTTTCCCACTGCAGGTTTGCTTAAGCAAGTTGTTTGTTTGCTTTTTAAATTAGCTGCCCAGCTGTGGACACTGAGAAGGCTGTTGTGGGCCTTGACCTATCCTTCCCACTACAGCTTTGAGAGCTGACACAAGCTGGCAGCACCAGAGAGAGAAGGTGCTGCACTGTGCAGCAGCGAGGCGGGGAGAGCATGATGCTTCAGCCTGTATCAGGGCGGAAGGAGGACATGACTCTGTCACGTAAGCTGGAGCTGAGCACACAGCCTGATGTTGTCTGCGGGACACTGGAGCTGCCTCTTGGCGTCCACTGGCAGTCCTAGGCAAAGCCGCTTGAGGGTGGATTCGAACCCAGACCCTCGAGGTGCACGTTCTACTCCTCATCTTCAAGCTATTCCTTCTCTTTTTCAGTGATTTGCAGTACTGGGGTGAGTGTGTACAGATTAACTTTTCAGTGCTATTTAGTATCTTTTTAGTGTAGGGGCTAACAACTTTGATATGTGAGAAAGCTAAACGGCTCTGCCTTCCTATAGCCTTCCTTGAACTTTAGCAAGCATTCAACAGGATACTGTCTCCTTGATGCCTATGATCCTCTTGTTCAAGACTTGGTGGTGATGTCATTCTGGCATAACTAAAATTTTTACCAGGGAATAAACACTTTGCCTATTCTTTAGACCAGTTCTCCCCCAGCTTAGATTTATTAGGGATTCCTGTGTCCCTCCTTGTCTGTCCATCCTGCGTCCTCATTTATACTGTAAGCTGCAGGATTCCTTTTCCTCTAGGCTTCGATCTCTACTTATGCCCAATTCCTGTTTCTTTCCCCACTCTTCCTACTCTGAGTGGCCCTCCTTGAAGGTGCTGTCAAACGCTGCAAGGAGATCAGGTGAAGTCTTACAGAAATTTGGGATGTTCATGGAAACTATCTATCAAACTATGGAAAATTGCAAGCCTGATTAAAACTGTATTCACTGTCCCCCTCTTTCTGATTTTCTCCTTTTGAAAGAGGCTCTGTCTATTAAGAGCTGGAGTACTCCCTGAAATGTTGGAATTGATGGGATGTGGTCTTTGAAAGCTATCACAACAGAAAAATGCCATGGAGACTAGGCCAAGGAGTGTGTTTTCAGTAAAGCAGGTCTTCAGGAAAACTGCCAAGTAGAGATTGCTTCAGTAAGATGTTTGTGTCTTTGGAGCTTCATAAAGTGCCTACTTTTTGTTACAAGGATAAAAGATTTCCTTCTGTGCTTCGTTACTACCCTAGTCCAGAGCATTCCTTCCTTTGGGAAGAGTCTTGCCTCTGTTTCTAAGACTCTCTATTTCCGCTTGGTCTGAAGTGTGTGGTCTGCTGCCTGCCTGCACTCTGAGCTTTCTGGTGTTTATATGCTTCTCCTTTGTACTATTGCCAAAGGTACACCCTGCAGAGAGTCAACATCAGAAGGCCTTGCCCAGCACTTAAAATTCGGGCTGACTTCATGGTTGCTGACCTAGTGCCGGCAGCCCCCTACACCAGCAGACCCTTTGCTTGGCCCAGTTGAATTCAGAAGCTCAGCATCCAAAGTGGTTGCTGTCAGGCCTGCTTGCACTGCTTGTGTTGTTTGGGGCCAGCTGGACCTGTGGGAGTGAGAGGATATAGAGTATCCCCAGCCCCAATGTGCCCTCCTGCCCCAGCTCCCTTTCCTTGGCTCCCAGCTGTCCTGCTTTCCATTTTCCCCAATGCTAGTGATTAAAGAAAACCTGGGAAGAGAGACAAGGCTGTTTCCCATGAGGGTGCCTCAGAAAGAAGAAGCAGCCCAGTGAAGATATGCGGGGTACAGGTGCCAAGCTAATAGGCTGGGAAAGGATAAACTCGTCATAGGCTTAATGAGAGTGCTTCTAAATGTCCATATGGCAGACACAGAGTTTCCTGCTCTCATGTTCTCATGGTCACCTGCTGGAAACTCGTACACAAACCCTATCACCAGAGTGTCTCGGTGCTTGTCAAACTTTAAAGACAAGAATTCTCAAACCATCCTGGAGTACGCATGCCTTGCTACAGCTGGCAACCTGAGACAAAGAGAGACTAAAGTATTTGCCTTGAGTTGTGGGAAGAGCTGGGCACAGGAACCAAATCCCCTGCACATCAGTTCTGCGGACATCTTTACTGGTCTCTTGTAGGAGCCGCTCCAGACATTGATTCAAGGAGAGCTCATAGGACTCTGGTCAGAGGGGCAGGAGGTGCACAAGGAGTCACACAGCCAGTGCATGCAGGGAGCAGAACAAAGGTGAAGGAGCAGAAGAGGAGAGAGCATGGTAACCTGCTCAAAGGCCGGAGGGAGGAGCTGCTGCAGGTAGTGAGAGTTTGGCGCAGTCATCAGGATGTCAGTCCATGTGTGGGTGGGGCGGTTTGGCAATCTCATTGGTATCTCAAAACAGTGCTGTTCCTAAAGGGCTATTTAGTTTTCAGAGCCTAGCACGTGAAACAAAGAGCCATGACAAAGCGGAGAGAGTTAAGAGAAGCAAAAGACTATTGCAGAAGCCACGAAAATAACAAGCAGGGAGAAATTAAGCCTGAATCTTGTGATTTGGGAGGGCAAGGGGGCAAGGATGCTGGGTGAAGAGAAGGCATAGCAAAAAGTATTTAAGAGGTGGGGATTTGGGGGCAAGGAAGAGGGAGAGATGATATAATACAAATGAGCAAAGGTGAAACAAAGAAAGAAGCCCATAGTGAATTTATCTGAATTTCCGTTCCAATGCTATCTTGGAAGAAAACCCCTGTTCTTGTGATGTTGTGAAGGCTGGGACTGCAGTGTTGCTCCTGGGGGGATTTGGCTGCTGCTGAGCAGCCTTACTGTTGA